CCAGTCCTTTCTGTTAAGGCATTGGAAATCAGCACAGATGCCACGTCAAGCAAGCCAATGCTATTGCATTTAGATCTCCCGGATGTTCCAACGTTGATACCCACCATGCTGCTGCATTTCGTGGCCAGTACCACAAGAAATCCCGGCTTGCACCGGCCCTTGAGGACGAAGATCAAAGCCAGCCTAGGCGTCTCAGCTATTGGGGCTGGGGACACAGTGGGATTAGTGGCAAGAGAGGTCGAAATTCTAAATCGCAAGTCTAATTGGAATGCAAGAAACAAGAAGCCACTGGGAGTGAGCAAATCCATGAAATTGCTTTCGGTCTTTCTGGTGAATCTAGACCCTTTCCGTTTGCCTTGCTTCTTGGGCTCAAAGTATAACAAGTCAAATTTGGCCGATCGGAGCTCTGCACATCTCATGAATCTTGTTGTGTTTGCAGCTCCGGCGAAATATTCAAGAAAATCAATATCCTGCCGCAGGTGATGTTCAAATTTTCTGATTGAGTACAATCTATAGTTCACCTCAAACAACTCGGACGGAAGTGTCCTTCGTGAGGTCAAACTGGCCTTCAACCCAATGCAGCATCACCAGAACAGCCACCACTGCCTGATAGCACAAGAGGAAAGGACGTGCTACAAGGATCTAAAAGGAATCGGGTTTTGTGAATCTGAAAGCATCGGATTGGTGGGGATAAATTACAACCTGCCTTCGGGCATCCCATGGCCCGCAACCGCCATACAAGAAGATCCAAATTCATCTTGGAATTTTGAGTTTCGAGCCAGCAAATCTTTCTCGGATTGAAATTTCATGTTTTGCCAAATGATTTTTTCTGATCGGATCTCATCCGGCACATTGCATGAATCAACTCGTGAAAAGTGTAAGTGTTGCTAAACTAGCCAGGTGGACGACCATGGTGTTTCAGCTGGAGCCGAACCCTCCACAGGTCCTTCTTCAGGTTTCTCGCCTTCGAAGATTTGCCCATGCAGGCCTGGGCGAGAGAAGCTGGAGAAAGAAACATGATTACTTAATTTGGGATGCGCCCACAGTGCTGAAATGAGCACTTCTCTTTACTTAAGAATTCAGTTGATGTGGTGCAGTCCTTAACACTACTGACTCCTGGATACGAAAAAACACTAGCAAATTTTGAAAGACACGAAGCTGCCACAGAGCTGCAATTCTGCAAATTCAATCGGTGATCACATTTCAGCACAACAAACCTCATTTTCTCTTGAAGAGCTTGTTCTCTTGGGGACACAATTTTATTTGCACCCAATCGGAAAGTTCACACAGACGCATTTTCTCATGTGGCACTTCCGGTCAGCGCAGGCTGAGGCATGGAATGAAAGCCGAGCCGCACATGAAGGCGAGGCACCCCTTAGCCCTATAGCCAATGAAGTGAAAGTGGGAATTTCAGATTTCAACAGAAAAATGTGGGAAACTTGTTCACCATGGGGCGCCTTCTACCCTTCAAGCTGGGACCCCTGAAGAGTAAGGACATGATCTTTCTATCTTGAATGCCACCATGCCCGATCGACTAAATCACGAGGAAAGTGTCCAGTGTCAAGTTGTTTTTATTAGAAACACTCGGAACACCAACTGACTGCCAGCATTGGAAGATTGTTGGAAGCCGAAAATGGCAGTGGCGATTTGTATCCAAAATCCTGTGCCATACAGGGCACAGCTTTCTCGGTGAAAATCGCATTCCAGCTAATCAGCTAGTCGACATCCTGACCCTGCTTGATCTCACACATGACGCATTGGCCGTTGTAGCGCAACTTCTCAGGGAGCCCTGCCAACATCGGATGATCTTTTGACACCTTGTCCAATTTGTCCGCCACAAGATCCACCTGCTGTGCCTGAGCGCGATGAGGCGATTGGATATGGCTGGAACGAAGTACATCGACAACGTCGACAACAGCTCATGCTTTCAGCACCTTGGCTCAAAATAATATCAAAGGATCGGACTCCATTTTCATGCTTTGAGTCTAGGTACCATGAGGTGAGCGCACATGATCGCGCAAGCCATCTCAAACTGCCAATAGGGGCCATCTTTTTCTGAGTCAGCATAAAAAGAGAAGCACCAGGACGTGTCTTTCCCATCGGCTGTGATGTCCTTGGGAGCCTTCGTGATACAACTTTGCCTACTGTAGTAGGGGTCGATGGTGCAATGCAACATCTGAAAATTCAAAAGGTATTTCACTTTCTTCTTGAATTGGTTGCCCGCATCCTCAGTAGTGAATTTGTAAACATACTCCTGGATTGCCTCATACAACTCTTGATCGTAAAGTTTGTCATCGTCTTCCCACTGGCTGGTCTTGCGCCGGATACGTTTCTTGGGTGGCTCAACATTGTCGCTAGCTGCTGGCTTCTTACAACCTGGCTTGGCCTTGGCCTTGCCACCTTTCGGGGAAGTTGCCGCCTTCGATTTTGCCTTAGCCTTTGCTGTGGGGGCTGCGGTTGCTGCAGTTCCTTCATCACCTACCTCACCTTCTTCTGAGTCCTGCTTTTTCTTTTTGGCTGATCGCAAAAGCTTTCGAGCCTTTGCACCCGGCTTTGCTGTCGGCTTGTCAAGAGCAGAGGTGGTCTTTTTCTTTCCCTTTCCCTTTCTAGATTTTGACTTTGGCTTCGGCTTGCTGCTGTCGCCCTTTTTGTTCTTCTTTTCTTTCTTGTTCCTAAGTTGATCTTCTCGTCTCAAAACTTCTCTGTCCTCAGCGTCAGCGTCAACTCCCGGAGCCATCGCTGTGGATGCCTCCTGGTATGCAGCAGGTTTTCAACACATCGATTTAAATATTTTTTGGAAACAAACAGGCATAGTTCAACATAGGGATACATTGGGCAGTTAATGCGTAGAAAGTGAGACGGCTCCTGGGCAGGCACAGCTTGGAGAGAAGCTTGAGGCGCTTGGACACTCTCAGGCGTGGATTGGACACCAGGCAACTCAGCAGTCTCAGTATGAAGGCTTTTTACTTGAAACTTCTTTCGTTTCTCTTCGCTCGTTTCTGGTGACATGTGTTTCTGGGAACGGTCGGGGGGCACTGGCAATACCATAACATCCACCGGCTGGGTCTCAGTAAAGTCCCCGGCAGGAGCACCAACCGATGAAGATCCTCCCATGGAAATCGTGTTGATGGTCATGTTTGAAGGTTTGAGACAAGAAACCAACAACCAAATTCAAATGCTACAAATGAAGGGGCCTGTGACTTCTTCCTTTTCCAATTCCTTTTTCTTCTCGCGGATCCTGAGTCTCTATCCCTACAAGCTGAATACTTGATAGCATGATGGAACTTGGTTGACTTGAGTATTGGACTGGTTCAGCAAATCGTTGGCAGCTGCCAAGCGCTTGGACACATCACCTGCCAAGATACTGAATGGCTTACTAGGTCATACACACTCTCATGTTGGACAAAACCCAGTGCCAGGCCTGAAGAACCTGGAGGAACCTCTTCGGCTGGCAAGGACTCGCTGGATTTGGGCGTAGCGGCAGGCGGGGGAGTAGCTGCCGCAGGCACACTAGCCGGGGCAGCGGGAGGTTTAGTTCCCGGATCATACTCATCCTCATCTTCATCTTGTTCCTAGATTGCACATAAGACACATGGGTGCCAGAAGTGATAGTATGAGGTGAATGGAAAACTGACTGGAAGACTTATGTCCTCTTCCTCATTCTTGGGCTTCCGGGAGTTCACTTCCGTTACAACCTCCTGGGCAAAAGTTCATGCATCTAAAGCTTTAGTTGCTTTGATCTTCAAATTTCCGATATCTTATTTTATCGCCATAAGGTTATAATTTATTATATCGCCATAAGGTTATGGTTTTTCGATTCTGCTTCAATGTCCAAATTCATGTAGTTATTATATCCGATGACATGGTTCAATGTAAAAAACGAGACAGCATGCATATGTCCTCCAGGTGCGGTGCCAGAGTCAGAACTAGCGCTTGGAAAGTATCATCCTTAACAGGCGGCAGCCCACCAATCAACAGAAAATGAAAATGACCACCGAATTCCGATTTTACTGTCCCTTTAGGTCGCTCCAGTCCCGAAAGTGTATCTTTGTGGATGGGGTGCCATTAACTTGTTGTTTTTAATTGGCCAAGGTTCTAGGCTGACCTCAACTCGCCGGCACTTCATTTTCACGAATGTGCAAAGCTTTCGAAGGATCCAGCCATCGGATTCGATATCGGCCGCTGGTCGGTTTTGCTTGTTCTTCACATAGAGCTTCTGAATCTCTTCGCGCAAAGTCTCTACTTCTGGCAACTTGTTGGAGTGGAGCTCCATCCGGGCCAAGACTGGCTTCAAGACCTCATTGATTGCAACTGCAGACTGGATACCTTCGGTGCTCGTCCCCTCTGGCACCAATTGGTGGCCATCTCTCAGTTTATCACGGATCACCTCAATCTTGTCCCACTCATCAGACAAGCCATCACACACAGGATCGGGTGCAGACTTAGCAAGACTGCCGGAACTCATTTTGCCAAACAGGCACGGTTTGACCCCAAATGGCTCTAAGAAAATGGTTTTCACCCAGCAACCTGATGCGCAGGAGCAAAGCAGCTGCTGACTGGGGAGCCCTGCCAAAGCCGAATGAAAATGGCCACCGCATACCGTCGGGCCGGTGTGGTTTGATACTTTCGGAAATTCTTATGCTTTTGGAATGAATGTGGCCAACCGTGGGGCACTTCTGAATCTTGAACATCACAATTCCACCAATTTTGTGATTTGGTGTCTTCCTGATCTGCTGTTTCTTTCATAGAGCCTCCTGTGATGGACCAATTCATCGATGTCATCCGATTTCCAGGAAAACCGGGTTTTCGGAAGCAAAACCGGGTTATCGGTATGTCAAGCCCGGAAAACCGGGTTTTCCAGACAAACCCTACTTTTTTCCAGGGTTTAGTAGGTCAAGGTATATATATATATATATATATATCACAACTATATATACATATGTTTCTCAAGATGGCACCTGTCAACCAATAGTATTCCCTATCGGCCCATGAGCTGGTGCCTGCAACGAGGGACTCCAGTTGTGGGGCCTGTGGCTGGACGGGCTTGTACCAGCCAAAGCGGCTTTGGAACCCTTACCCTCTCGTAAACATACAAAAAGCTATTGAACATGACCATCTCTAGTGAGTTTTCCCATGGAAACATGTGATTTCCATAGTTATGTTAGATTGCTAGTTTTACCAGAGGGTAATTCAGCGGCTTTGGAACCATTGAAATGTTTTTTTTGAAAACAAAGGGAGTTGTCTGAAAGCAGGGTACCCAAATATCTCATAGTTGATCATCATCATCATCATCATGTTCGCCATCAAAATTGCCACTTTGGAGTATAGGGGTATGCCGCATGTTTCAATGAACACATAATATCCCATTATATCTCATATTATCTATATCCAGATCTATATATTCTAATATATCGTTGATCATTTTAGAGTAGTATACATCCCATGATCTCCCACAACATCTCATTACATCCCATGCTTCATCTAACAAAAAACTGGGAACCATCCCGCAATTCCTGGGAGGACGGTCGCATGCAGACGGACGGTCGCTTTTTCTGAACGCTTCGGCATTCTTCCTTCGCAGTTCATTGGCTTCCTTAGGACAGCTGAAACCACCATTGGTGGCGACAGGGTCAAAAAACCACCAAGTGAGACCCCTCAGAAGGCCCCAGAGTCCCAGTTTTTTACATCAAACATGAAGATACAATGACATTCAACCAATAGGAATGGAAATTTATAATGGATTTGTGATAGCCGAGTCGGTGCAAATGGCTAGGTCCAAGTCTTTGGTTTATGGCAATTGTATCGAGCTAGCTAATGAGGTGAACATAAACCAACAGACATAACTGGTGGTCACCACCTTGTAAGGAACCAATGGGCATGTGCACATTCCCACAAACTCCATTCTGCTTCTGTTGTGCATCTTCACCAAAGATTCAATATGTTGACAGCATACATATGTATATATATTTTTTTTATATTGTATAATAGTGTTTTGCTGAGCAGCAGCCAGCGATTGAGCAGCAGTTTAACTTAACAGTAATTGCTAAATGGAATTCTGAACATGCAAAAAGTCACTGATAAGAAAGCAACTGCCATAAACTCAATTTCCCCCCAACTGAACGCAACAAAAACTACAACCTGAACGCAAGAAAAAACACAAAAACAAACAAAAACACGTTTAAGCTGTGATCACGAGAGTTCCCTTGTGTTTTGCAAAAAGGCACGAATTCCAGGGAAAGTTTCGCCGCAACTAAATATAGTAATTTCTTTAAAAAAGGCACGACTTTGTCTTTTGGCTGTATTATAGTATGACTCTGAACCTTGCATGACAAACACACACACAAAGAAAAATGACTAATACATCCAAAAACGCGCAAAAACACGAGAAATTGGCAACCCTTAAGCTTCCATTGCTTCCATACTTGACCCCAATTGGTCAAGGCCACGAAAAAAAAACGATTCTGGAAAGGGGTCGTAATGATGTTGCTCCCATCCAGGTCTACCTGAAAGGCCACGGTGCCACATACACACACACACCAACGGTGACCCATCAGTGGCAATGTTTTGACATGTTTCGAAAATCCCTGAAATATCCTGAACATTCCTGAGCAGGGTAGCCCTGCCATCAACCCATTTATAGTCGATTTTAGTTGCAAGTGGGGCATCCTGAAACTGCATCGCTATCGCATGAACCTGGGAAAAGAAGACGTCATAAAGATAAAATAAGGTAGTTGACCAGAACAACCCATGCTCACGATTTCTCAATTGTTCTTGGGGAGAATACCACATTGTACCATTGGACAAATTGGAAGCGGACACTGACTCTCAAAGGGGCATCCATTGACCAAGATTTACCCAGCAGCTGAAAGCGTTCAGAAATCTACCGTCCGACACGCCTGGCGAATGAGATGTATAGCCGGATGAGGTGAGCGATGCAGCTCATTGTCTGGAAGGAGAATGAAATCCTCCAGATTTCAGGCTGGAAATGTCATATTTCTGACAGATCCTCCAAAAGTACCAGGTGGCCGCCGACATATCTAGCTAAGGGCCAAGGGGGATTGTCTACACCAGGGCTCATGGCAATTATAAATACGGACTTAATGGGCTTCATAAAACAACACATAGCCGAAACGGCCACCTCGCAATGGATTCCAAACATCACCATAATCTTCATAATCTATGGGCTCAACGGCTAAACCTCTCGTTTTCATTCTAGCACAACTTCCATGAATCACCAGCAAAAAGTAGAGTAAACTTGAGTAAACCACAAACTGGTTGGTGGTATGCCTACCCCTCTGAAAAATATGAAAGTCAGTTGGGATGTTCCTTCCCAATATATTATGGGAAAAACAAATCATGTTCCAAACCACCAACCAGTTATAGATCATTATTATACTCAGTATTATATCAAAATCACTACCAGCAGGGATCCATCTCCGAGGCCATCCCAGCCAGTTGAGTAAACCACAAAAACTTCCTTTTTTCCCTGTTTCCTTCGGCTCAAAGCCGTCCTCCTCGGGAATCAGTGACTCCAGGTCCCAGGTGCAGGGACCGCTGCCTGTCAGCAGCTGTGCACAGACTTGACGAGGCCCTACCTGCGTGAGGAGATGACCCGTTGAACTAACGGAAGATGTTCAAAGACAAGGCGGACAAGGTATCGCCATACACAAATATGGATACAAGTCTAATAGCATGCGATAGCATCATGAAACATGTAAATCATCGATTGAAGTCTTCAATCGATGATTGATTCATATGTTTCATGATGCTATATCATACTAATGAAGACAAGACAAAGGGAGGGTATGAATAAATCCACGAGGAGGCACATGGATACAGATGGTATCATATAACATAAATCACTCAGGGATTTGAAATCAGCCTGCAACTCACTGCCAGTTACTGCATACATGAACTACCTCTAGCAGGGGTCCTGATGTTTTTCATCTGGAAACCTAACCCTGCGTGTCATCTTAACATATCTTAACTACTAATCTACCACCATGATCAGTGATGTTTTAGTTTGAAGCACCACCCAGCAAGAAACATTGGCACATCATGACATAACCCGCTGTTGGGCCGCCATCCCCAAACAGAGAGGCCGTGCCGACTGGCACCGTGCCGACCCTCCGAGATTTCGAGCACCTCGATCTCTTCTGGAGCAGGATCAATCATCATAGCAGGTTCACCTGCAAGGAGGCAACTTCGAATTGTGACATTTCAATGTCCTGTTTTTTGTGCTGAAAAAATGTAGCTGTCAAGTATTTTTGACACCCTTTTTGTTGCAAACTTTTGTGAAGAAAAATCGATTCTCCATGTATTTTTCAGTCGAATCCAAAGCTAGCTTCAAAGGGATATTCCCATTCGCTGAATCATATCCCGAAGTATAATGAAACATAGGAAGCCATCCACAACTGGAATTGAATATTGAACCATGACTACTCCGCTGTGATCATGTTTATCCCCGTGGATGATAGTTCAAAATTCAGGTCCCCAAAAATGCGGCTTTTGTTGACACCGAAAATTTTGGGATGCCATACTCAAGCCAAAGCCATCCATACCCAATGCCGTTTCCCCACCAGGAAAACCAGGATCGCTGAAGACACGCTTCTGCATAAGGTCAATATGTATGACACCTGCCACAGCCCCGAAAAAAATCGGGCCTCACATCGGATTTCTATTTGTCCAATGTAAAATTTACGGAAACCATCATTTCAGCATCCTCCTTTATCAGCCACAGGGGTGCGGAAATCGGTATTTCCACTTTCACCATTTCTGAACATGTTGGCAACCTGCTGGGGTCTAGAGTTCTTGCAAAAAGGGCTCATGAACATCCGAACGAGTGATACTGAAGTAGTGATTAAACTAGAATAATGATGGAGACTTAATCCATGGAAAATGGAATGGAAACTACTGGTATCAATGCCATCGTAAAGGACCCCGGTATGGAAACAATTGGGTGATACAAACGACCCCAAGCAATCGCTCTTGGGGCAAAGAACGTACGCACAGTGAAGTCCAAACTTACCGATAAGGACCAACACGCAAGGCGTGTATCACCCACAAGAAATACCCTCTGGTAAACTAACATAGCTATGGAAAATTGGTGATTTAGAGTTGGTTTACCTATATACCATGGTGATGTTATGTAAACGTTTACCAGAGGGTGTATTTTTCCACATTTCTGGGTGCTTTGTTTTTTTTGGACAAGTGTCTGCCATTGCCCCTTTCGGGCAAAAGCCAGCGAGCAAATTGAGGATGAAAGGCCACCAAACGACACCTGATGTGGATCATGCTGATGACAATTCAAGGTGTTTGAAACCATTTGAACATGGTGTTTGTATTATTTAACTCGCGGCTATCACTGAATCACCAACCATCAACAGCATGAAAAACCGTCAAAGACTTTGATCCAATCCAATCACACCCAATGCCAAGGTCGGATGAAACTATGCTCATTGAGCATTGATTCAAGGGAAAATTGAAAGGAAACCATGGTTTTGACCTGCAAATATTTGTTGGCTGCTCCTGTGATTTTCCCATCATCTGGAATATGCCTTCCCATCTGGAATATGCCTTAAACTTATCGCAACTGAACAAACAAATCGATATTTACTGGTAATTATCCCCATCTTGGAAAAATTCACCACACTTCATGCTTAAAACCATCAACTAATCCCAATTCTCGGTAAAAACATCCATAAAACCCCATGGATTTTCCGAATAATTATCCCAGTTCTTATCCCAGTTTCTAGATGATTCCAGTCCCATAGGATCCATGGTGCTGGTATATATGCTAACATTTGGGGTATATTGATGGGATCCATGTTACCATATATAGCAGCACCATGGATCCTATGGGTATTGGGGTGGTTTCGGCTTTTGTGAGCGATGAGTTGATTGAGTCACCATGTTTGACTGAGCCACTTTATCACGCCGTGATGTTCAACTCTTCAACATAGGGAACACATGGAAACACATAGAATCATAGAAACACACATTAAATCACATTAATACTTGATGTTCCC